AAAAAAAAAAAAAAAAAAGGGTACTACTACATGGTTCAACAAGAGAACAGGGTAGCTTGGATGTAGCAGAGGGTAATGAAAGAAGTAGACAGATTCTGGGTACAATTTTAAAGGTAAAACTGGCAGGATTATAAGGAAGGTCCAAGAGAAAGAGTGAAATCAAGAATGGTGAATTAAAATGAGTTCCAATGCCCTAGAATTCTACTCGAATGTTTGCTACGTCTCACAGACTTAACTACACTCATCAGTACTAATAGAACAATATTACTAATGGACCTCTTCATCCTCCTGAATTTTCTGTTTCAATGAAAGTAACCTCTGTCCAACTACCCAGTCTAGATGCTTTTGAGGTCATTATTATCTATTATGTCAGTCTCCATATCTAATCAGTACCTAAATCTTCCTAAAATCTCCTTCAAATCAGTCCAATTCTTTCTATTTCCAATACTGTTCTCTTAGCTCAGACCCTCATCATGTCTTGCCTGGGCTCCTAGAATAGGGAACAGAATAAAAAAGATTTACTGATCACCTATATATGCCATGCAGCAGGCTACACAATTTATAGTCACTATGCTTTCAGTTTTTAAAAAATCTTCCAAATTGATTTGCCTGCCTCTAATTTTTCCATATTCCAATATGCTTTCTAAGAGCAATTTCTAAACAAAAATTTGATGTTATTTGGCTTCAGGGGATCTGAGGTTTTTTACATGATGATTTCTCTGCCTAGAGATAGTCTTACATCATTATTTTTCTCACACTCTTTTTCATTAGTAGATGTATATTTATCAAAATGAACCTACCTCAAGAAAATCCTTAGGTGCATAAACAGGCCGGAAAAGGCTTAAATCTATAATGAGATAGATTTTTTAAAAATCAGTTAATATATGAAGCTTCTTTCCTATGTTTCAGTGCAAATAGATTAATTCAAACATTTATCAGTTTTAAATATTAAGAACACAAAACTGAAGACACTCCCTGTAACAACCTACATTATATATTATAGAAAATAAGAGTCTACTGTTTATAAATTATGATCAATTATTCATTACTGATTCGACCAAAAATGTCAATGTAAAAAAGCTTCCACATGAAAATTCTCAAAGTATTCAGAATACAAACAGTGCATTCTTAGTGAAGTCCTCCAGTTGCGTTAAACTGCTCTCCTTCTGAATTCCAATTGCAACTGCTCCTCTACCACAGCATTTATTTCTTGCCACATCCTCCAACTAATTTTTTTAGTAGTGGTAAAGGTATGTACATGTCTGTCTATAAAATTATAAGCATCTACTTAGTAAATAAAAGTGTTTTTGATGTTGACTAGATTTTGTTTCTAATTAAACTAAAAAATTCTTAAAATATTTTAATGCCTTGAAATTTTTCATTTTTAACCTATCTTCAACATCTCAATGTACTTAAGCTTGCAAAATGCTTACCTTAATTAAAAGAATCTCGGGAATGTACTAAATGAATTTCACTTATTTTATAAAAATATTTTTAAATGCTGCTTTACAAAAGATTAAATGATTTAAACATTCTCAAAACAAAGGCGAAAGGAACCCTTAAACTGCAAAGTAGAAGTTTAAACAAACAAAATAGATGACAGGGAATTACTTTGGGGAGAAAATTGCTATCTCTCCAAAAGAAGTGCTCATTATGTTATTTTGGATTCACAGTTAAGAAGGTAATTCTTTTTCCACTACTACATTAAGAAGAAAGTTCTTTGTATACCTGGTTCATCAGTTCCCATTTCATTCCACTTATTAAGAAGTTCTTTCTGCTGTCCAACTGGTCTCTAAGAAAAGGTAATTTTAAAACTGGATTCATTTTTTAAGATTAGCAATGTATCTTAAAGAGAAGAATCAATCAATAACTTGTTTAAAAGTTTAAATAAACTTTTGTAAAATTGGAGAAAATAATTTCATTAAACATGGCAAACTTTTTTGGAATTACACTGAAATTATCATTTAACTATTGCATTGCATCTAGTCTCAATGGCTCAGTCAGAATATGATGCTAATGAGTCCAAGAAAAGCAGGTAAATGATCTGGACTAGCCAGTCAATTTCACAAAGAGAAGCTGCTCCTCAGCCACATACTTCATCTCTTTCCCCATCCAGCAATCTCAGAAATGCATCGCAAGGGGGACTGGCCAAGAGTGTGACTGGGAGTCAGCAGCACCGTCTTCCTATATGAAAGATATTATATTATACAACACTACATATTTAGACAGTTTTTCACATAAATTCTTTATTTCACACTATCCTTCTGGTGCTTCCAGTGACTTGTCCTTGGATATTACCAAAAGTATATGCACTACGTCTGTTTAGCAGCAGGGAGTAAACAGGTATGGAGAATTAAATGAAGGAACCTGGTTCTCACCTACTTCTAAGCAGCTATGTGGCATCTAGAACACCCTCCGAATGACTTTCCTCTCCTTTCTCATCTCTCTCCCATAAAGCCCAGAAAGATTAGTGTTGAGTATTGCCCCTTAATAGAATTCCACTTGGGCAGACAGATGACAAATTATTCTTTTCCTTCCCTATATTAACACCAAAGGATGGTACCAAATCGTACCAACATCACAAGATCACTGTACGCCTGAACTCCATCTCTAACTTAAGGATTATGGCTACCGTGCTCAATTAGCTAAAATGTAGGGGGGTGGGGATTAAAGTTCATTAAAATATGTAAAAGTGTACTCATTATCTTTACGGTCAAATGTTTAAATAATCTGTATGTAGATTATATATTTTTGTTCTTAAAAATTCATTAACATACACATAATGGAAAACTATATAGAATATATCCACACAATTAGTTTAGTTTTTACAGATTTTATTTTAAAACAAGCTGATATAACAGTAAAAAAAAGGAATATGTGCCTGACAGCTATATAACTGCATGACACTTTTCGATAGTTAAATTCACAATAAAATAGCTAAGCAGAAAAATATTAAAAGTACCTTTCGTGCCAATGGGATACTCAGTTCTGTGCACATACTATTTAGACTCTTCAGAATTCTTTTTTCCCAACTTCCCTGAAACATAAGGGAAAATCTATTATTGTTTTTGTCCATAATACCAAAACTAATAAAAAATTTGGGTTACATAGAAACAGCAAGGCTGGTTGCGATTGGTTATCCTTATTCATTAGTTCATTGAACAAATACTGATTATTGTCCACCGTGTAAAAGACAGTACTTAGTGTTGTGAATTAAGCAGTGCTATAGTTTGGATACTGAATATCCCCAATGGCTCATGTATTAAAGATTTGGTCCCCAGGGTGGTGGAATTGGGAGGGGGTATAACCTTTGAGAGATGTGGCTAGCGGAAGCCCTTAGGTCAATGAGCACTTCCCTGAAGGGAATTGTGGGACCTGCCTCTTTCCTATTTCTTCTTTTTGCTTTCTGGCCACGAAGTTAATGGTTTTGTTCTGACACAATGCTATCTAGCACCTCTACCACAGATCTAAAAGGATTAGATCTAATTAGACATGGATCAAAACTTAACTGTGAGCCAGAATAAACCTTTTCTGTATGTTACTTATCCAAGGTATTTTGTTATGATGATAGTAACACAAGCAGTGAATAACAGAAAATCTCATTCCACACAGAACTGACATTCTAGTTGAGGCTGGTAATGAGTATAGATGAAAAAATGCCCCAAGTCATTTAGTGATACACATTATAAAGAAAAATAGCAGAAAAACAAAAGGTAAATTAAATGAAAGCTTTTTATGTTTGCTACTTATGAATCCTATTAATAACTCATTCAAGTTAAACTTTAGATATTTTTCCAAACACAACATTCCATCCATAAGTATATTAACATGTATATTCTTAGAATAAAGACCTCTATGTACTATAATACCATTATCACGTTGTGACCATTAATCATGATTGCCAACTTGACTTAAGGAGCACACACACTTCTGGGTGTGTCTGGAGCATTTGCAGAGATGTTTGGCATGTAGCCCAGCAAAGTGAGGGTGGAAGGCCGGCCTTGACTGCGGGTGGCTCCATCCAATACACATGCAGCCCAGACGGAATGAATGAAAGGGGCAACAGAGGGAGGAAGTCAGCTCCATGGAGAAATGCTCCATTCTGCTTTAGTGGATGCCATTTTTGCTACTACCATCACCTGTGTACATCAGACTCGTTTCTTTAAACTTTCAAATCTGCAGCAAGCTTCTAAGGCTTCAGCCTAGAACTGAAGATGAATCTTGTCGAGCCCTCTTGTTCTGCAGCTGCCAGCTTCTTAGACTGAGCAGTTTTTACGTCTTCTAGATATCCAATGTGCACATAGCCATTGTGGACTATCCTGCCTCTGATCCTGTAAGCCTGTCTAATAAACTCCCATGTGTAATTGTATATATACTGGATATATTTTCCAACTGATTTTGTTCCTCTGGATAATCCTAACCAATATACGTACCTAGAAAATTAATGATATTATTTCATAATATTGTCTAGTATTTAGTTCATATTCAAAAGTTTGTAATTGTCTCCAGAGTATCTTTTATAGTTTCTTTTTAATTTAGAGCCCATTCAAATTTATTACATTTGGTTGTTATGCCTCTTTCAATGTAGTTTAATATAAAGTCTCTCTGTTCTTATCATTTTCATCCTTATCACATGTTGATTGTTTTGAAAAGACAAGGCCAGTCATCTTTCAGAAAGTGTCACAATCTGGATTTGTCTTACTATTCTTTGTTAACCAATATTCATTACCTTCTTTTCTGTTCTAATTCTTGGAAGCTGGAATTTATAAGTTCATTTTATTAGTAAGTCATACTCCCATATATATGATATCACAATATGCTATTCTTTTCCATGCCAGGCTAAAATGTCATACTAATTTTTTTTCATTTCACTAAAATGTTCTTACAGGCCATTTCTAGCTCTCTGAAGCCAAGTTAAAATAATAACTAAGTTCTAAAACTTAGATATAAAGGACAGCTACTGTCATTCAATAAAAGTAGAATAATAATGATAGCTCTTTTAAGTCATTGTTATAAAAATTAAAGATGTTAATACATTTCAATTGCTTTGAACAATGGCACAATAATAATATTTCAATCATTGACAGGCTTTATTGTAGCTCTGATTATTCATAGCTGGGGACTTTTTGCTTTATTTTATTTTGTCTTTTTGAAACAAGGTCTCACTATGGAGTTCAGGCTTGCCTTGAACTCACTATGTAGGCTAGGCTGGCCTCAAATTTGTTGCCATCCTACCTCAGCCTCTTATGTGTTGAGATCACAGGTATGCATCACCATGCTCAGCTCACATAGCTGTTTTTAATACACATAGTTACATACATTAGTACATTTCTTTATCTGGAATATGTTCTCTATTCACTGCTTCAGCATCTTTATTCTTACTTGATCTAAATAAATTTTAATCCTTTTTCAGGTACCAATTTAAATAACATTTCCCTAACAAGCCTTCCCTCACCTGATCCCCCACTGCAGAGAACATAGTGCTTTTTCCTATAGCCTCTCCTTGTCCTTGTCTTTTCCTATAGCCAGCTCCTTGTCCTTTGCTTACCATGCCACATATCTCACTTGATCTACATCTAAGTGATTCTCAATAATAGAACAGATTTCTACTGTAAGTAAGAAGCATTGTTAAAAAAAAAAAAAAGGAACAGAAAAGAATTCACCTGTAGGAAAATATAGAGCTGTGTGAAATGTATAAAACTTGCTCCATTAAATATATACAAATATATTTTGAAAAATAAAAGATATACTTTATAAATTGCACTAAATATTCCCTGATCTTACTCCATTTACTGGCTTATTTTCAAAGCCCCTTTCCCCCCTACAAATGGTTCTCTTAGATCCAGGATGTATTTGGTACTCCTTATTTGAATACCTTATTATGAATCAAACTTTAATTCTAACTATACAGTGTACATTCCACTCCTAACAACCTTATCCACACTGTACTTTGACAGACCTTATTCACCATTCAGAAGTCAGCTTAAATATCACTTCCTTTTATAAGACTTCTGTCACCTGCTCTTTCCACCACAAATTGTGAAGGGAGTAGATATGAAAAAGCTTATATTTAAAATTCCACTTTCTATAAATCATTACTATAAAATAGAATTTTCACAGATACTAAAAATCCAGCTAGGCATGGTGGTGCATGTCTGTTGCCTGTTATCCCAACACTCTGGGGCACTGAGGCAGAAGAATCACAAGTTCAAGCCTGGCCCCAGCAACTTAGCAATTTAGTGAGACACTGTCTCAAAACAAAACAAAACAAAACATAAAAAGGGCTGTGGATGTAGCTCAGTGTAAAGTCAATAGCTCAATCATCAGTATTGCCAAGAAAAAGAATCCAATATCTAAATGTTTATTACTTATCCTACTATGTAAAGAACCAAATTGCTATCAAATTATGGTTCCAAATTTTCCCATGTTCACTCATTCATAAAAGCAACTCTAAAATTGATAAAAATATAGTAACTCTCAGACATAAAATTAAAGTTACAATAGTTACATCAGTTGGTGGCTCATAATACATACTGTACATATTTTCAAAACTGAAATACACAACTTTAATGCACCATAAAACCTACTGAAAATTTAAATATGAAGATTGTTCAAAACAGAAAGATGACTTTCAGAATGATATTCTAACAAGATATTGCTAACTAATCCTATAAAGAATTAGTTTTGCTAAATCAATTCACTCAAGTGTTTTCTGTGAAATGCAGTTTTAAGCGACTCATCATTATTTTCCTAAATAAATATCCAACTGTGCCAAAAATTTCAATTTATCAACTTTAAATTTAACAGTAGGTATAATACGTAGAGAAAATGGTTAAAAGAAAAAATAACATAGAAAAGAAATGAGACATCAGAAGAAAGTATTCAGAATGTAAAGAGAGTAGAGGAAATAGCTATTAATTTACAAGTATTCGCACATCATTTTATTAGTTACATGAAACATGTATTATTACCCCCATTTTATAAATGTGGAAACTTTAAAAAAGAAAAACAGAGCAGAATGTATTAAGACCTGAATAAGCCAAGCATGTTGGCACATGCTTGTAATCCTAGCTTTCAGGAAGGTGAAGTAGGAAGATCACAAGTTTGAGGGGACCTGGCAATACAATAACACGTCTCAAAAAGGAAAAGAAAAGAAAAGAAACTGATTAAATTTCTTTGCTCCACAACTGAAGAAGAGATGTAACCCAGAAAAAACGAATGTGACTAAAAACTGAGGTAGGGAAAGGATGTTTAATTCAGGACTCTTATGGGTAGGACAGGAGTAAATGACATAATATCTATGTTTCAAATAGTGACAAGATATTGATTCAACAAGTATTTTCGTCACCAAGAAATACTTTTTTGGTGAAGGTGGGGAAGCTATGACAGACACACAAATAACTTGGGACAGGTTGCGAAAAGTTCATATAAGCTGTATCAGTCCACATGCCACAAGCACAAAGAGTCCATAAGAGAGTGAACAAAGGAGAGCAAGCTAGTACATATATACAGCACAACTTCTAATTGGTGGGGTAACACATACCACATCCTTTAAAACCCTCAGAATAATGAAAGCTACCCCAGTGGCTGGATATGTCTTCTCCATACCCTGGCCGTGCAGGTATATCGTGATGTAAAGGTGGCCAAGGCTTTTCTAAAGGTACTCCTTAGAAGAACTACAGGCAGACACTCAGAGAAGAAATATCTGTTGAAATCTTGGATGGTCAAATAAGTGATTTCCAAAGATATCAGAAACAGAAATGGATGTAATGTTTTTTATATCTTGTTTTCTTCACATAAGATTTTATTGTATGAATTGTCCTATTACATTGTATTTCTTCAAAAATTATACATTTCATACCAGTATAATATTATCTTTTCAAAACATTGTTATATTAACAGCTTTTTTTATATTAACAAGCTTTATTACTGTTCATTTAGATTCTTTTAGGTTTCTGACTAGAATCATGAACTCTATAAACTCTATAAACTTCTTTTTTCTGATTCTTTATATAAAGTTCTAAAAGTGGAATTACT